TATAACAAACACACTTACTTAAGGCCACTCCTTACCTGCATCACTAGGGGAGTCACCTAAAAAAAAAGAAAAAAAACACATTAGAAATTCACTTTTGTGTCAGTAAACCTCAGTGTACGAAATGAGCAAAACAAGATTAGAGAAAAATACATAATACGTAATTTGGGATGTCAGTTTGGGACAAAAATGGTCATTTCTTCATAGTCTCTTTCCTAGTTTCCTCCTCCCACTGTTTTGTTTTCAAAGATAGAAAAGCAAAGAACAAACAAAACTATGAGTCATAAAATGTTATTACATAAAAGCAGGAAACAGGGATATGAAGAGTGTATCAGAGACAAATGAAACAAACAGACTGGACAAACGGTGATAAAGCCAGGACGCCGGGGGACTGACTCCGAAGGTTCGGGAACAGGGGTGCAGCCAAGGAGCCTCCAGACGACTGTCCCATCTCCGGGGAAACCAAACAGCAGCCGCCTCACACGCCAGCCCGCCTCATAGAACTCATCAGTAAGGATTTCCTATCGGCTCCTAAATTAGAAGAAACTTTCTCAAGCTCCACATGGGCCGACTTTTGCACTTTTCACCCAGGATCCTTTTTCAAGTGCTGATTTTGGGGATGAATGTGGCCTATGGGGCCACAGGTCCCCAAGCAGAAACACTGTCGGGGTGAAGTAGATTCACACCCACAGGTGGGCCATCTTTTCTGCGTCACACTTTTAAACTCATGAGCAGAAGATCGAAACCACGCACACTAGTGAGTCAGGCCCTGCGTTACTCTGGGGACCCACTGCGTGCAAATGCAGGGTGAGAGGCGCTCTCAGACACCTCAGTTTGTCCGCAGGGGGACTTAGAACTTCCCACTGACTAGGGAACCCTACAGTAGAGGCCCCTAAACATGCCCTAAAGGAGGCAGCTCTGGGGAAGGGGCACCACGCTTACGGGGCAACAGGAACCGGGGGCCTAGAGGACCCTATCCATATGGAACACAGGACCCCCCAGAGGTCACACCCCACAGAGTGACACAGCAGAGGGCAGGCCTCTGCTCCACCAGCTGGGGCAGGGTTAGGAGGGGCCTGGAGAACGTAGGGTAGTGTGAAACAGTCACACTGGCCAGAGGGGCCAAGGATGAGAATGTGCACATAGCAGTTTCAGAGTCCCCAGGAGGGGGACAAGGCAGGTGGGGGACTTGGGTGCAACCCTGGGACCAAGGGCTGCCAAGGAGCAAGAGCAGGTGACAGCAGGCCCACCCCTCAGTGCGGTGCCTCATGGGAGGTGTGCCCGGGACACAGCACAGAACAGTGGCTGTGTGGCCCGAGCCCCGGACCATCGGTGTCGGGGATGACCGTGGCTTCACCAGGAGCTCAAAAGGGTTCCTGGCAGCAGGGGAATTGAGTCACGAAGCCACAAGTGCACACAGTAGCTCTCACCATCACGAGCAGTCCCTGAGCCCTCGGCGGCCCCACAGCTCGGCCGCCTCTGGCTCTCCGCCCCACGACCCTGCGCCCGCTCAGCCTCTTCCCCAGACGCCAGGGCCAGGCGCCAGGCATGGCAGGCCTCCTTCCCTCTCCACCCTCAGGCTGTTCTCTGTCCCAGGTGACAGCAGCCACAGCAGCGCCCCTACCATCGTCTAAATGCCAGCGGCCTCACGTGTCATTCTAGCCCAGACCTCTCCTAAGCTGGGCTGCGTGTGCCCTTAGATGTGTGAGCACCTCTCGAATCCTCCTGTCCCTGTGGTCCCCATCACGCCACAGCTCAGGCCACTCTCCCCACCTGACTGCTGGCTAAGCCTCCCAAACTAACACCATCTAAATATGATGAAGCACTCTTAAAAATATCAGGGCTTCCGGATGCTCAACTCCCTAGCACAGTCAGACACCTGGCAGGAGCTGGCCCGACACCCCGCTCCGCCCAGCTGGCTTTCTGCACCTCCACGGGCCCCCCAGGCCCCAGT